CACTGACGACGAAATCAAAAAGTGAGTACATTTTTTGGAGACAGCCTGTATATTTCTTACTATTCCAAATGTTATTTCGCGGATACCCTTTGAGTAGACACTATTTTATTTTTTTTATTTATTTAAATAACCAAAACAAAAAAATTGTTAATTACGTCTACTGGTTTCTTTATTAAGTCACGTTTGGTCCATCTAAACGGTTTGTAGCAGAAGGAATGTTGGATAAAAAAAGCCATTGATTTTATATATATTATACACACACTATAGTGTAAGAAAAAAAATAACAGTACTCAATAAAAGCTACTTAATATATTAAAAAATATATACATAATACCCTACGTCAATTGTACAACTCTGAGTTCCATGCCATGGCTTTGAAACGCTGCACAACCTAGAGTATTATACATTTAGTTGGATTGATGCGAGTTTGTGATCCTGGGTTTCACGCTATTTGCACTTGTCAGACAAATAAGATTGCATATATATATCTATATACATACACATTTTACATTAAAAGAGAAAATAAAAGCCGCAAACGTTTTTGGTTATAATTTTGATTTTTTTTTTTATATATTATACTTTATATTTCATATTTAGAATGGAAAATAAAGTATAATATATAAAAATAAATCCCAAAATCCACATCATAACCAAAGACGTTTGCGGCTTCTTATTTCTCTTTAAAACTATACACTTTTTTCTCTCATTTGAACTACTATAATCTCTCTATAAGAAAAAAAAGATGTAGTTACACTTCTCGCAGTTTTCAAAGTTTATTACAAACTTGTGGTTTCTTTAGTGCATATTTCACGCCATCCAAAGTCAAAAATATACTGAACCACATTCATGATTTTTATTTATGCGCATGAAGCTAGGTTAGTTAATAAATAATCTTACTTATTATAAAACGCAGATTGTGTGCGTGCGTGCGTGCGTGTGTGTGTGTGTGTGTGTGTGTGTGCGCGCGCGCGTTTATATATTGGATCGGATTTACTACATTTTTCAACCGATTTCAACAAAACTTCACTTTTTTTTTTTTTGCAGGTAGTGTTTCTTATTGTCTTGCACACTTTTTTCTTTATTTTTACATTCAGAATGCTTTAAAAATTCCATTTACAAGACAATTGTTTATAATAAAATTCTATTCAATCGATAGACTCATAACGATTGAATACAATGTTTTTGTTTGAGTTTGACCAATTCGTAAAAAAAAAACAAAAAAAAAAACAAAAACTAATTAAGACATGCGTGTCCGTCAACCTTAAACAATAATCTTTGTCAATTTTATTTTTCAGTCTTTATGATGGTCGATACTTGATCTATCTCTTACTGTTACATCTCCGGGCAACGCCGGGCTCTACTGCTAGTATAATATAAAGTCATGATTTGGTTATTCAAACGTAACTGTTTGAACTGCTAGGTAACCTTGACATATTTGGAGATGATCCAGAACCCATATTGAGAGCAAACAGCTTGCATACGAATACAAAATATATTCAGTAATTATACAAAAAATAGAAAGGGGAGCAAAACAAAGATGTGTCTTCTCATCAGATTTATTATCTAACCTTTCCAGTTAGACCATTCTGAGAGAATTAGAAGTCCTATTAGGGTTCATTATTGGCAGCCACAATCTTAACAATATGAGATAAGTAGATGGCACAATGTTGATAGCAGACACAGAAAGGAAACTACAAGAACTCTTATAGAAAGTAGTGAAGGAAAGCGAGAAGAAAGGACTAAGCATAAACTACAAGAAGACAGCAAAAGAGTGAGCCCAAAGTGCAAATTATGAACTGAAAAACCAAAGTCAAACAATTACAATTTAAATACCTGGGAAATATTTTAACAGGGGGCGGAAAGTGCGACACTGAAATCCGAAGGTTCATTGGAAGAGTGAACGATGCCTCCCAAAAGCTAAGCAGAGCATTAAGAAATAGAACAATTTTGTTAGAAACAAAGAAAAGAGTACTCAATGTCCCACGATGCCTATTTTGGCACATTACACATTTTATGAAGTAGTTTTTGCAATACCGACCCTTTCACAATAACTGAAACCCGGTCCCCGGAACCAGATCCTCAAGCACCACTTCCCAACTGCATAAAAAAATAGTAGGATTTACCCTCTGATATTTATATAGTAATGGCTGAGAAAAACTATGCAATTTCTGAACAATCCATCATATATTGAATTGCGTGTTAGGGATAAACCCCCACCACCTCAAAAAAATATGTCTGTTGTATTTGTCCTTGTGGTGGTGACTAATAAATAACCTAAATTTTAAGATGCACTCATTCTAATGCAATGAGCTATTAATAAACTCTCAATAACAAGTTTCTTCCGAATTGAGTGCCTCATGAATGTGGCTTTGTACCTAAATAGGCAGTCCAGCAAAGTATCTAGTAACCTTTGAATCTTGAACGTGGTGAATATTAATTACCGAATTAAGTGTCGCTTATATTTCCGGTTTCTCATAAGGATCAGTAATTTCTCTAACTTTCTGAGGATCTCTTGTCGCGTGAAACCTACTCGCAAATTTACAAAGTTTTCTATCATGTTCGCTTTCTTTGTGTGTGTGTGTGTGTGTGTATATATATATATATATATATAAGTCTGTAAATAAAAATACGATCCGCTTAGGTGAAACCTGGGTAGGTTTGTCTGGCTCACTAGGTTTGACTATAGAGAGAGAGAGAGATGGATGCAAAAGTAGGTAGTAATGAAAAACAAGATATATTATCATTTACACATCCCCAGAAAAAAAAGTCCATAGAGGCGAGTACCGGCGAACTAACTGTATACTGACTTTTGCAGACTCCTAAATAAATGAATAAAATGTATTGAGGCAGCTACCGTTCTTTTAAATAAGTTTCATTCAACAATACTGACAAAGACTGTTTGCATGTCCAATTATTTTTTATTAACTTTTACAAATTTCCGTCTAAGTTGTTTTATGCATTTTCGCTTATTTATTTATTTTTTTTCTTTTATAAATCCGAGGATTTTTGCTACATTCGTTGTGAAGAATCTACTTTTTTGTCTGTTCATGAAACTGTGTTTGGTTAATACCGGTGTTTGCTGTGACCAATTTTAAGTTGGTTAAAGGTGACATCATTTACTACGGTCAAAATGTATTTTTATGCAATTCCTATATATATCTATAATATGATATTTCATATACTGAAGGTAACATCAATCTGCTAAGTGGCAAACGTTTACTTATAATATCGGTCTTCTCTCGTCAGAGCAAAAGTCGAGGACAAAAATGTGCACAGAGACTAAAAAGAAAAAAAAATGATACAACCCCAGACAAATGTTATATGCAAAAAAAAAAAAATTAATAAAATAAATAGCATGAAAGACTAATTAGATTTAAGCCTACCAATTACTCCTACTGCTTACAGAGAGATGGCTGGTAGGATATATATGAGAAAAGTAATGAATACTGGAGATAGTGTAATTATAGACATAGGGAGCAACACCAAGTCTTGGTTTGAAAATCCCATTGAAATGTGAATCTGTGGGGGTGCTGAAAAAGATATTGAACTGAACGACTTCTCCAAATTTGTCCATATGACCAAACATCAATTTGTTTTGGAAGGGCCGTAAATTTTCAACATAACCAGAATATATTTCTAATCTATAAGTTTCTATGACTTCTGTTAGTTGGTCCATTCATTTTAGGGAGACCATGGACTAATGGATAGCGGCTCGGATTGAGGAATCAGAGAGCCGAGTTCGAATTCCAGTCAAATCCATTAATGCCCTTGGGAAAGATATGAATCCTCCTCTTCTTCCTCCAGCTATGGGTAAATAGCAGGACAGACCGGGTTCTATAGTCTTGGATGGCAACTGGTCTACCGCAGAAAGAAATGGCAAAATGGGAAAAATCTGCCTCGTCAGTCATGTATCGAAAGATACATGATCACCTCAGCGTGTATCAAGCATGGCACATAACTGACAAACAGGTCCTTACTTGTTTGTCAGACAGTTACAAAGTACAAAGTACAGTTGGTTTTACTAGGGTGCGTAGCTTAGTACAATACATTTTCATTCATATTTTTGGAAAAATTAGAAGTTTTATTATTTAACATACAAAATACACCCACTACTTTAAAAACAATTTAATGATTAAAATAACAAATACTTATTTAATAAAAATGCAATATTATTTTTTGCATATCTTTTAAGTTTTATATACAAGAATCCAGTTTCCTGTTCGCCCTGCGTTTGCGAGAACTATAAACAAATCACAAAGCCAAACACTTCAAAAAGTTGGAATTTGGCTCCAGAAAGAAATATTTATGTATGTTGCATGCTCAAGAATAAGAAAGCCCAAGAATTTATTCTTCGCTGTTAAAAAAAAAAAAAAAAAAAAAAAAAACTTTTTTTTTTAAATATTGTTTACCACGAAGTCCTATTAAATTTAAGAAATTATTAAACCGAAGTAGGGTTTTCGTCAAAATATTTTCCCCAACAAATCAGCTTATTCAAATTTCATCAATTGGTTTGTGAAATTGAATGAAATGCCGAGTTTGTAAATCTTGACAAAAGATGTTAGCGCTAGCTTTAACAATAGTAAATATTGTTAGAATTTCCACACGCTAACGCGTTTTGCAAATATTTCTAGTTAGTTTAAAAGTGTGTGTTTTCCCATTTGCCAATATTCTATGGTTAAAGACATTGCCAACTTTTAGGATTGATCTTTATAGTCTGGCGTTAACGAAGGAGCAAGGATTCTGAACTGAAATCATTACGATGATTTTGTTCTTTCTTTTCATCTGGATTACACTCAGCTAATAGAGAGTTTACAAATCCTAATGCTGGCTGTAACGTTTATTAAAGCCTGAAGGATAAGGCGAAACCAAGCAGATTAAAGAACAAGTCATTTTTATTTTAGCAAATATCATCGGCTCTTTGATTATACAGAGTATATTTAAAACTGTTGACTTTTAATGTCAAAGCAATAGGAATTACGGAAATTCAGTCCCAAATCCAGTTATGAACTTGATTGCTGAAGAATATGATTTCTTAACAAATCTATCAAGATTTTATAAAAGAGAAGGGTAGAGAGAAAGCTGGGAGAACAGTATGAAAAGTATGGGGAGACAGTGGGGATGTCAGCAAGTAAAAAAGGGGGTTCAATAGGCAAAGAAGGGGGTTCAGTGAACAAAGAAATGGGAACGGGGAGGGGGAACGCTTCGGTTGACACTGAAAAGTGTAGGGGGTCAAGAGGCGAAGAAAAAGTGTTTGTGGGGGGTAAGGGCTTAGCAGGAACAGAAAAAATGTAGGGGGTCAACAGACAAAGAAAAGTTGGGGGGGGAGTCAGCAAGAAAAGAAAAAGGATTAAAAAAAGAGAAAACTAAGAAAAGGAAGGGACAAAGTGAGAAAATAGAAGGATTTCATCATAAGTGGTGACGTGGCCGGGGTGGGGGGAGAGAATACAGGAATGTTGTTGTTGACAGTAATATGCACTGCCCTTGCCTCTTGAACTTAATTTCCTTTCCTGATCCCACATGGCTGATTCTGGGAAGGAAAGGCAAGAAAAAAAAAAAAAAGTGAAAAGGAGGGGATTTTAAAAAAAAAGAAAAAGAAAAAGTCAATTCAGTTTGCCATATTAGGTTACATGCCCTGGTAGGCTGGGGATTATCTTTTAACTCAACTTGTCCTCAGTTAAAATAAAATATAAATATAAATAGATTTATAATGTCACACTGACAGCTCAGACATTTTTTCTCTGTTTTATCTATATCAGGTCTCTCAACACTTGCTGGTATAGTCCAGTGGCAAAGCATGGAGATAGAGACAAAGACGTTTTAATTTTTTTCTTAATGCTTGGTTAGTGAATTTCCATATAAAACATTTAACTAAAGATAAAAAAAACAAACAAACAAATAAATAAATAAAATAATACTAAATTCAATACTGCATAAAGTATAGTTTTCCCACAAGACACCAATCAAATATCTTATAAAATCCCTCATCTGACTTCTAGGAAATAAACATTTCAGAAAAGAGGGGAAAAAAAAAGAAAAAGAGAACGTTATCCAAATTATGGGAGTTTTCCCATACAGGTCAGTTGAACGCTGTTGCACACATGACACTTCAGTGTTGATTGTTATTTTTTATAGTTTATCAACCCTGAGGTCACTTAAATCCAGAAAATATCTTTAGATTGTAAGAATTATTTGGAGAAAATAATGATTTACTGATACAAGTCCTACTAATTAACTCATAGCTAGGGGGAGACGAGGTGGACCCATACTTATCCCAAGGATATTTGTACATAAGTGAATATAACAAACCCAACTAGAATTGGAGCTCAGCTCTTTGATTTCCAATTTGGAGCTGTTATCCATTACACCACCAGCACATCCAAGCTTATAGCACTTGGTATTTCCAAGAGGTCACCTATCTAGCTACTGACCAGGATGAACGTTGCTTAACTTCAGTGATTGTACAAGAATCCTTCATGACATAAAGAAAGGGTTAACTATATTGATGAAGATGGTGATAAAGAAAATCATTGTCATCAATTTATTTATTGCTTGGTTGATTGATTTGGGAGAAATAAATTCACTATCTTCTTGGGATTAACCATTAAGAATACAGAATGGCATGGTTACCAACCAAAGCTTTGAATTGAAATATCAGAGTCAAGCAAGTACAGAAGTTTAACTATCTGGACAAGTATAGCAACAAGGAAAAAAAATTTAAAGAAAATAGGAAATGAAGGGACATTTATAATTAAAATCAGAAATTGACAGTTAAAATTTCTGGGACACATTATGAGGAAAGAGGCTTGGAAAATTTGACACTCAGAGGACATAGTGAAGGCAGGAGGGGCATGGAAAAACGTACCTAATGAAATTATGTGTGTGTGTGTGTGTGTGTGTGTGTATATTATATATATTGATTGATTGATTGGCTGTTTTATCAAGCATGCTTATCACACATCCGTCAAAGCGTTTTTGTTTTAAGCCTAAACAATGATTTTTCCTTGCTTTCAACAGACTCAACTGCTATGACCAATCACAGCATTAGGTACATTTACTGGGATTAGATTGCCATGAATCTTCATATGCTTTTTCAAACCAACACTTGTTCTTCATTCTTTGTCACATATAGGGCATCTCTGATTGAAACTGGTATGAATGGCAACCTGATATAGTCAACCACTGTTGTCCTGATGCCGAATGTGAATTTCCATTCCAGCTCTGCTGAGACAGAGACGTGAGAAGATATGGCAGGTTAGTTCAACAGTACCTGCCTTCTCTGCTTGAAGTCTCTGCATTTTCTTCATTTTATAGAAGAGCGTACAAATCTGTGAATCAGAAGTTGATTGTGATTGAACTATAAAGGTCCAAGAAGCTCTTTTGTCACAGTGCGTTAGGATATGGTTCCATTATGAGAAAAGTTATAGCTCATGACTTGCACACAGGTTGATATCTGATCAATATCAAATGGGTTGCCATGGAGAATGGGGCACAATATTGTAAAATCTGACACCCCCTTAATAATCTCCAGCTAAAAGATCACATGTTGATGCGTGTCAAAGCATCTGAGAGATGCACATTTCACAAAATACATGCACAGCACAGAAGTATAACACAAGGCTAAATGAGAGGAACAGGGTAAGAAGATTTTGTTTATGCTATTCTTCCAAGTGGATAAAACCGGTCAGCATTCAAAATCCTGGCTTTTTACCTTAACTGCACCACTAACCATTGTATCAAACAATTATCTCTAACACAAAGATGCTCCAAATATAATAATAGCTATGCACATTAATTATGCATGCCATGGATAATACAAAACATAATGTCTCATGTTGTAAATTTTGTAAAAGTTCTATTTTGTAAAATTAATTGTTTTGCTTTGTGTAGCATAAAGGTGAAAGCAACAAGAAAGGTTTAAAACTTCAAGAACAACAATTATTTATTTCCAGCTGTTACATAAACACAAAATGTCTGTTACTCAAGTAGAGCAGATAATCAGGTTTCAGCTATAAATTTTTTTTTTTTTTTTTGTCAGGAACATATCAAAATGATTTTTTGGAGCACTGATTTTTTTTTTTTTTTTTCAGTTTGTAAATGCAGTTAAAGAAACTACATAAACATATTTAATGTGTGGATATGGTTCAAGGAAGACACACAGGTAGATTTTTGGATCACCCATCTAGTGAAATGGGAACATGCATTATTTTATATAAGGAAATACAGAAAAGTAATGAAATTTGCTCATCATTAAAATCTATTCCTTTCATTTCATCAATATTCTCCAAGTATCACACTGATTTTGCCTCTTTAAACCTGTTATTGTTTATTAACCTTTTCAAAGATCTAGTGTATCATATTTTTAGTTTTATAAAACAATAGTTTGTTTTATAAAACTAAAAATATGATACACTTTGCCTGCTTGCTATCACTTTGCAAAGTAAGATATTTTCACTACTTGAAATCATTGAAACACAAATTTTAAAGGAACATTTCATTCATAAATTGGTTGTAAACATGAAAGAAAACATTTGTATTTATTCAGATAGCTAAACATTAGAATTTTAGCTGTTTTTAAAAAATGAAACATGGTGAAACTGAATAACATTTAACAGGTGTTGACAGAAATAAAATACATGTATTTACATGAATGAAAAACATAACCTAGTTGTTTTTCTATGGGATTAATGTTCACTATTTGTGAAATGTTGAAGGGGTTGTGGACATTCAATATATTTGTTCAAAGAATATGACTGTAAAGACAGAAGAAATTAATTGGTCAGGTGTGGGGGCAGGCTTGTTATAGTTAAGGAAAGTTTTACAAATTATAGATGCCAACTTGTTGAAGGCTGAGTAAAATGCAAATTTCAAACACTGTTCTGCACTATATAAGACAATATTCCTAAACATAATTATTTTTGATATGAAAATCAAAACAATCCTCAAATGTTATTTGAGGATTGTTTTGATTTTCATAATAATCAAATAACATTAATGAAGGACAGCTAATTAATGAAATATACTTTTTTAAAATCAATATGCAAATTAGTTAAACCTTAAAAGTAATATTGCCTCGACGTTGATAATATATAATAGAGATATTTAGCCTCTGTTGTGTAAATTACTATATAGTTGGGGCCATTTTATCACCAGAATTCTTTGGAAGAATTGAGCTTCAATTTTGCATTTATTCAAATAGAAGTTTTATAATAAAAAGTGCAATAGCCAATGTCCATGACCAGAAAGAGATACACATTTTGGATATCATCTGATATTATTGTAATGGATATAGAAGGTGGATCAATAAATATGCTGTCTGATATGTAATCATTAGTTAAACACAGAATATAAGTTACACAGTATAATATACAATCTATATGATTAATATTCATTACGGAATTAATTGTGGATGTGCAGGTGGCGCAACAATTAACAACTCAAAATTGGTGAGCTCAGTTCAAGTTTGTTACTTTCATGCAAGTAGCCTTGAGAAAGTTATGGATCAATCTTTTCCCTTCAGCTATGAGCTAAATAGTTGAGTAGGCTGTGCTTTTCAGCCTTGTTTGGCAACCAGTCTATCGGAAGGATAACACTGAGTTCAAAGCCAGTCGGGCACAAGGTTAGTAACTCTATCATGGGAAAATATACCTGTTATAGAAACTGCAGCAGTAACACCTAGCATGTTAAGGCCGCAGTCCCATACTTCACAGTTGGAGTGAACAGGACGAGAGAAAGAGAGAGACAGATTGAATTAAGTATTTTAAAAAGGAAGGTTATACTGAAAAATAGTTGTGTAAAATAAATGCTTTTTACATCAATAGGCTACAGACTTATTGACAGAGTGATTTACTAAGTGTAGCTTAGTTGTGGCACAAGGCTGAAAGAATGAAACACCCAGTGAGGATTGAACTCACTACAGACTTATTGATATAAATATATATGGTTTGAAAAACAGTTGATAAACAGAAATAAAATACACATATACTTAAATAATATGTTCATCAACTGTTTTTAATTTAAAAGTAGATCACATGAAAGAAACAATCTAAACATTGCAATACTTTTAAGACAAATTATTATTATGTTTTGGAAACACATATTTTGTGATTTTAAATAGAAATAAAGAATGAATTTCAGCATAACATCATCAATAAAGTGGAAACTTTTCAAAATAAACCATACATTGTAGTGCAGGGTTTTTCAAACTGTGGGTCCTAACCCTTCAATGGGTCATGAGATAAATAAAATGGGTCACAAAAAAAAAATAAAATAAAAAACAAACAAACAAAAATACACAAGTGGGAGCAAAGTGCAGAATATAAACAACACTAAATGTAGCACAGCACTCATAAATCATCGCTAGATTTTCACTGAGGTAAGGTCATATTATATATATATTAGAGAGAGAGAGAGAGAGAGAAAGAGATTGAGCTTATGTATCTTGTTCATCAAACTTGTTGCGGATTATTTACTTTATCTTTTTGTCTGATTTTCCTTTAAATTTGTTTTTCTAAAAGTAATAATTTTATATTCATACAAATAGATACATGCAATTCCAATATATGCGGATCATAAGAAATATACATAGAAATTATCAATGCTAAATAAATGAATTTAGTAAACAGAGTTTGTCTTTATATATGGTTCTTGCAGTGGGTCACAGTAAAGAAAAGTTTGAAAAGTTCTGTTATAGTGTATAATTAGTACAGAAATAAAATACACTTATATTTATATAATGCATTCATCAAAGAAAAAAATAACTGTTTTCTATTGTTGGCTTTAAGATATTTCTATAGTTGCACAGAAGTCATTTAAGCAGATCAGATGAAAGGAATAATCAAAACTTTGCAATACTTTTAAGAGAATTCCATCAAATTCACTTGATGTCTGAAGTAGGCTTTGATCTTCAAAGCTGAGAAGTAAAGAAAACAGGTCACTATGCTCTTGATGATAATGAGAAACTTCTTTGACCCTTTTCTTTCATTTCATCTTGTGATATGATGAAAATATAGTTAAGATGACTTGAATAGGAACCTTCTAATAATGTTCATGACTTTTTTTTTTCTTTTAAAACACCACCCCTCTTTCAAAAACAAAAAGTCGGGGCGGGGGACCATTATTCAGAAACCAACATTTTATTTCAATTATCTCAAATTTTTCTTTCATGTGCAACCAATATATTCTAATTCACAAGGAGGCTAGTCTCAAGAAAAAGAAAATCAAAACTTAAAATTTGAAGTTTAGACTTGTTTAGCAGAAAGAAAAATCTTACAATAAATTGAGACACTAAAGTAGGTACATCAAAAAAAAAAAAAAAAAAAAAAAAAAGCGATACTTAAAATGCATTTAAAAATGAAAAATCTTTTTTGAGACTTTTATTTTAGTTTTAATTCCAAGTTAATAGATTAAATTTAATATTTCCAACAAGCAAGATACTTTCCTGTAGTCTTAACTGAATTTAAATTGATTCAAATTATTTTTTTTAAATCATTAAAATCAGTCATACTGACAAATCTGTCAACACAATATAATTCTCTTCATTAAAAAATCTTTCCAAAATAACATATACCTTTCTGAAATTTTGAGGAAGATTAACTGATTTAAAGTTTAATTAATCTGAATTAAAATAAATATTATTTTAGTTTAAAATATCACAGAAAAGCTTTTTTTTTTTTTTTATAAACATGAAGGTGTGCATTTTATGTGGTGTTGACAGATTTATCAATAGCTTAATGGTTGTCATTTTTAAGTAAAGAGATGGAAAAATTACTTAATACAATGCCTTTTTTATATAGCGTTTTTAACTACCCAGTAATCTTAAAAACTTAGGAAAATATTCTAAGAAATCTAATATTTTATTGAATTTTGATTACTTTGGCTTTATAGTCTAACTTATGAAGACACGTGTTGAAAAAATGTTATGAAATTGACAATAAATTTATAATCTACTATAATTACTGCTCTTAATTTCTGATTATGTTGTATATGGTCATCTGTATTTACAAAATCCAGAGCATTTATACACACAAAAAAAAAAAAAAAAATTCAAAATTATTTTTAAGATATTGGGGGGGGGTGTTGAATTGTAGTAATCTTTTCCATTTGGGATTAGTAAATATAGATTTTACTTAATATCACCTAACTGCTACAAATTAATACAGAATTTTCAAAGATTTAGAACTTTATAAATTAAATTAAAATTTAAAAAAAGAAAAATGAAAACAATTCTTGTAAATATTCATTATTCATCCAAAAATTTTTTTTCTTAAAAAGGTGATATTGCCCATAATATATCTTATTCATAAAAGCAATTAAAAGCTTTTCTAACTAAATAATGTATTAGTTTTATTGCATTTCTTATTTTATGATTCAGGACAGATTTTTGGTAACTGGGGGGGGGGGTGCTGTTTTACAAAAAGGAACCTGTCCTGATAATTAATATAAACATTAAACTGTACAAAATTTAATTTCTTGAAAATTAAATAAGTGTGAAGTAACAGAAGTAAAAAGAAGAAAAAAAAATTTGTTACCAAGATTTTCTAAAAAGGAAACGTTTCTAAAATAATTCCATTCATTTGTGAATAAATCTAAACCAATGTGTTTTTCATTGCAAAAATTGCTAAAATTTGCAATGCTGATTTATAGTCAGCCTGCAGACACAAGAAAAGGTTTTTAACAACACTTGAAATTACAACTAATATAAATCTTAAGAAAGATTTTTCATTTTTAAAAATTAATTTCAAACCTTAGGTATCATGAATCTGTGGAGGTACCTATTTTCACATGTTTAGTTTTTATTACAATTCTAATCATTATTTTTTTTTTAAACAAACATTGCTGGGGAGTGATGGTAGTTAAAAAACGTGGTGTCACAGCGAGTGGGGGATGATTGTTCTTTTGATATTACATCTTATTGCGGGCACATTTCTCCATGTTTGACCAGATTTTTTTTCCAAACCTCCCATCTGTTATAATCCACCTTTTATTTAGTACTTGAGGGTAAGTCACTGCTGTTAACAAGGTACTTCACAAAATATAAACTTATGTCAGACTGGCTTCCTTCATATTAGATGCAGAAAAAGGTACTCAAATGTTGTCAGTCAATCAAGAATTGATTGAATAAAAAAAATAAAAAAATTATGCTTGGTCAGATTATACAAAGCAAGTTGGGGTGAGAACTTTTCAGCAGTTTCTCTTGTGTGCATACACACAAGAGAGAGAAAGACACACAAGAGAGAGAAAGACACACAAGAGAGAGAAAGACACACAAGAGAGAGAAAGACACACAAGAGAGAGAAAGACACACAAGAGAGAGAAAGACACACAAGAGAGAGAAAGACACACAAGAGAGAGAAAGACACACAAGAGAGAGAAAGGCAAACATGACAAGAAGGCTAAGAATGCATCAATCAAATAGAAAAAATAACAATTACTACTCTAAATTCATGGAATAACAACCATGCTTTGTCTCAGAATTTCAAATAACTTCAAGCTTATGGCCACATCAGAATGAAACAGGTTCCTGTATGATTACCAAAGCTAATCAATGTCGAGCCTGTTCATTACCTAGATGAGTAACCACTTGGGAATACCAAGGGCTGTAAGCTTGGATGTGCAGGTGGTGTAATGAATCATGGTTTGGAATTGTTAATCAGAGAGCTGAGTTCCAATTCTTGTTAGGTTTGTTATATTCATTTACACACAAATACCCTTGGGAAAGGCATGAATCCACCTCTTCTTTCCCAGAGTAAGACTTGTATCATTAAACTATTATCATCTAAAAAAAAAAAAAAAAAAAAAAAAAAAAATTATTTCAATCTAGAAATATTTCCTGGCTTTAAATAACATACAAAGGCTTGATAAAAAAAAAACAATCAAATAACTTCAGCTATTAGTTGATGCAACAGTTATACCAAATATGAAAGCAAATATGGCCTAACTGTAAGCTATACTCATAGTCAAGATTTTCTGAGCTTTATATATTAACGACTGTTCTCAAAGGACTCCCACAAAAAAAATTTATTTTTAAAGATTTTCTGATCTTTACATGTTAACCAGTACATTTAAACACCCCCACAAAAAAAAGAAATAATAATAAAAACAAATCCTCATTCTCATACAGATGCGATATAATAAATAAAAGCTTAAAAATGCATTTCCAGTCATTGTTCAATGAAATAGGACAACATACTAGAATTAATTATTTAGCAAAAGACGGTTGCTATACAGTCAAAGAAAGCTTCACATGTTTAGCAAAATTATATGCAATAAAGTCACTGGCCATAGAAAAGAAAGTCATTAAAGGGGGATGTAGTTTTTGAAGTACAGGCAATGAAGTGTGTATCAGAAAGGAGGAGAGTTTATTTGTTAGGGATCATCATCATCATCATCATCAAAAGCCTTCCTCTGCATCATCCCTTTTCTACCACCACAGGGCTTTCAAGTAGAGTCAGGGAGAGAGGAGAAAAACTTGAGATTAAAGTGAGGAGGCAGGAGAGATGCACAAATCACCAACCTCATCTTCATCCTCTAATCGGATGACAAACAAAGATCCAGGATAAAATTTGCAGCATTTTGCCAGAGTCCAGTCACTCTATCAGAGAATGCCTGGGTTTATTATTTTTTCTTTTTAAAAAATTATTATCCTCCTGTAGACTTAGGCCAGCCAAGGGTAACCCACAAGTCATATGGGGCAGGGATAGTGAACTGTGTCAGTCAGGGATATTCATCTCTTCCAAAATGCTTACCATACCTGAATCCTATTTATTAAAGTCAGTAAAAGCTGTCAAAAGAGTCATTGAGGGAAAAGAAGAATTTCCACAAAACAGACTTCAAAAATGTTGCAATAGGCTACTCACATGTTAAAACCTTCACTCACAATTTTGAAACAGTTGTGTTAAAAGATGACCATCCTACACTCTACTAAATTGTTGAACACAGACTCTTCTATTCACTATGAAACCTTGGAAATAGATTCACTATATGTTGTGTTAAAAGATGACCATCCTACACTCTACTAAATTGTTGAACACAGACTCTTCTATTCACTATGAAACCTTGGAAATAGATTCACTATATGTTGTGTTAAAAGATGACCATCCTACACTCTACTAAATTGTTGAACACAGACTCTTCTATTCACTATGAAACCTTGGAAATAGATTCACTATATGTTGTGTTAAAGATGACCATCCTACACTCTACTAAATTGTTGAACACAGACTCTTCTATTCACTATGAAACCTTGGAAATAGATTCACTATATGTTGTGTTAAAAAGATGACCATCCTACACTCTACTAAATTGTTGAACACAGACTCTTCTATTCACTATGAAACCTTGGAAATAGATTCACTATATGTTGTGTTAAAAGATGACCATCCTACACACTCTACTAAATTGTTGAACATGAAGACTCTTCCATTCACTATGAAAGGAATGTCAGCTCCTTACAAAAAGGAGCACAAAGTATATTGCAAGATAGTCATAAAAGTTTCCAAATTGTTGCACTGCTGCACTAATTATGGTATTTGCTATTATTGTATTTTATTAATCCATGTAATTAAACAGTTTCTTCACTAATCTTTTGTTCCAGTGTTTTCCTTTAGAATATTATTAACCAGAATTATGAGCTTATACATGTATTATAACACTATGCAACAAAAATTTCAGCCCATTTTGAAAAGCTATCTACTCTTATTAAGTTATAGAATCTATTTATTGGTCTGCATAGTTTAAAATAAACTCTAGACCAGTGGTTCCCAAACATTTTTTTCTCTGGGCCGCATTTTCGGAAGGAAATAGATTCACTCTATGTTGTGTTAAAAGACAGCCGACCTATGCTACACTAAATTGTTGAACATAGACGCTTCCATTCACTAAGAGAGGAATGTCAGCTCATAGGACCACAGGTAGAAAAGTGCCGCAGCACTGAGTTGTACACCTTGCCACACTAAATATGGTATTCGTTATTACTGTATTATTAATCTATGTGATTAAACCCTTTCTTCACTAATCTTTTCTTCCTGTCTTTTTCTTGGAATATTATTAACCAGAACTACAAAATTATACAAACATTATAACAGAAACATAAATGGTAACAGTAACTCCAAATAATATACATGTAAGTAAACAATTAACAGACAAGAAAACAATTTTGTTAATATTCTGATGTTTATTCAACATCATCCCCAGGAGAGTATGACTGATAGAGACTCACACTTCTGATTGAGAAAGAATAAACTAGCTAGCTTGGTCATGTGCTGGTGCTCTTTACATATTGCCTGTGGATGCTATATGGCATCCCAGCCTATAATATAGCTAGTTAGTTTAATTTGTTGTTTTGTTTTTTTTTTTATCAGGAAAACCACTCCTTTAGCCAATGTGTGCTCTTCCACTTAGACCAAAGGAAACTATGATAAGACAAAGCTCAAATACCTACTGAAGGAATGCACATCTCTTGCTGGGACATTTCAAATTCTATATCTGCCAACTAAGAGACAGATTGCAAAGTCACAGGGCATTTCTTTTTCTAGGTTCTTAGCTCACCAACCAGGCTGCTGCGGAATGGATGTTTTTATCAAGACATCATCTCTTGATAGTTGGCCAACTAAGGCTAAAGAGCTGCTATCTGTCCATTAGGTGATGATTTGGGACATAAAGGCAAACATCTACCTACTCAGTAAAATAAAGTGTTCAATGCCTAGATTAGATAGAGCAAAATGCTTGACAATGTTAATTCCTATGAAAAGCTGGCCATAAGAAGTAACCAGATTTCAAAAATATATATATATATATATATTATATATTACCACACACACACATATATATATATATATATATATATATATATATATATATACACACACAATATATATATATATATATATATATATATAAACACACACACACACACATATATATATATATATATTTATATTTGTGTATTTAATGTTTAATTAAAGATGACTGACAAGGTATTGCAATTAAGCTTTTTATGTAATTATTCTTGTGCTTGTACATTGGAAACAAAATGTGAAAAACTGTCCAAATGTTCTGCATTTCTGAGTACTTTCAGGTATACTTTTAGTCATCATCAAGAATGATTTTATTTTACTTTTAACTGAATGTATGGGTCGTGTTATGTATCTAGAGTTATAGCAATGTTTTATTTTCCAAACATGGTCAGCACATATTTTCTATTAGTATGTTTTGGTAGGTTTTTGTAAGTTTGGCTTGATTGTGAATACAGTTCCTTAAGGGGCATTTGAACTCGTAAATAATGTTGGTTCTTTGTAGTTTGATTTTGCAAGTGTGTTGTTACATTTGATGATAAGGTTAGATGTTTTAAATTTTTTGTAATAGATAATTTAATTTTCTTGTTTTATAAAACTTAAAATATGTTGTAAGTAACTCATAAATAATTACATCAGTCACACTACTACATGCCTATCACTACACCTACCCAACCACAGATCCATTAGAACTCATTTAAACACACAGACAAACCTACCAGTCTTCATCTGAAAGATACTAGTAGAAAATATAAACATAATAACCTCATCCGCATTTAAAAAAAAGATTAAAAATAATGGAAGCCCTAGTAATAAAAAAGAAAAAAACCAATACACAATAACATTCATTATCTATGAACATGGCCACAATTTTCTCCTACAACTATCAATTCCTGTACTGCAATTGTAAATAGCAACCCCTGCCAAACCAAATATGTTTCATATTTACCAAAGTGATGTAAGAACACCACACTCTCACCTTTATAAATCATGAGATCATTATGACCTGATGTATTATTTGGCTGCATCTGAAAAGAAATTTTGTAATTCTACACAAGCCATGCTTACAGCAGCTAAGCATCTCAACACGTGTTTTAATCTAAGTTGCTCTTGTAGGAATTACAAATAATTTACAAGATGCAAAACATTTAAGAAAGTATGAGCCTCAAAGTTGTAGCTAGAAGCACCATATGCAATGCTTTTTGTTCACCCTGTAAAATGGTTTGGTTTGTTTAACAGCATATCAACTCCTTGTGGGTCATTTAATGCTGAAACTTAATTTCTTTTAAAGCTTTGGTAATTTTTTTTTTTTTTCAAATATTAAAATCTATTGCTAGAAATGTTTACTATAAAAAAAGTATTTTTATACTTTCCTAGTGTTTTGACACCAATTTGGGGGAGTTCACTATTTGCCCATATCTGGGACACTAACAGGTGCTACAAGACAGGGTCAGGGTGGACTTGTGAACAAAAGCAATTAATAGGTGCTTCCAAGTTCCTCAAATCCTCCCAATCAGAGGCCTTGCTTTTGGATGTAGTTTATCATCATACCTAAGACACCCTGTGAAATTCTCCAGAGGCAAATGAATTT